CTCTTTCCGCTTGTCTTCCTACTGCTTCCAGCGGCCTTCTCTCTACTTCTTCCTCCCTCCTCCTCTGTTCTGCTTCTTCCACTCTCCTCTCCTCTGCCTCATCCGCCCTTCTCCTCTCCTCTGCCTCATCCACCCTCCTCCTCTCCTCTGCCTCATCCACCCTCCTCCTCTTCTCTGCCTCATCCACCCTCCTCCTCTCCTCTGTTTCCTCCATCCTCCTCCTTCGCACTGCTTCCTCCGCCCTTTTCCTCTCTGCTTCCACCAGCCTCTTCCTCTCTGCCTCGTCTTCCCTTTTCCTCTTCACTTCCTCTACCCTCCTCCTAACTGCTTCTTCCCTTTCCCTCTTGGCCAATTCTGATCTGGCTCCTGCGTCTTGGTGGGCTTTCATCGCCTCCTCCATTGCGATCCTGGTTGCCTCTAGGTGTGCCTCTTCTTCCGCAACTTCGGACCTTCTCCTCAGCACCGCCGCCTCTCTGTCTGCCTCTCGCCTGGCTGCCTCTCTCTCTATCCTCGTATTTTCTGCTATTACGAGCTCAGCAGCAGCAGCAGCAGCAGTAGCAGTAGCAGGAGCATCGGACCTTTGTCCCGCGGCCATTCCCAACGCTTGAGGTCGTACTGTGTAGCACCTATTTTTTGGCGGTGTCAAAGGTTCGATTGGTGGGGATGGGCTTGATGATCGAGAATCATGGGACCCATCATCCATGGGACTGTCTGAGGGGGGNACTGTCTGAGCGGGATCTGGAATTCGGGGTGAAAGAGGGAGATTGTTGGGGAAGTGGTGGTTGCGAGGAGACAACGGAGGTTAAAGGCAGAGTTTGGTTCAACGCCTCGATGTCTCCACACATTCTCCTAAGGGTTGCAAAAGTTAAGGCTGGTTTTTTTGCTGCAGCTCCTCGACTTCCTCGTCCTCCCCTCCCACTTCCTCGACCTCCGCGTTCAACACCGCGTCCTTGTCCTCGTCCTCGCCCTTGCCCACGCTCTTGAGTCGGTGGACCCATCTCTATAAAAATGAAGATGAGAAAGAACCTGCAACGCGGCGTTTTCTCAGACTACTGCGAATTGGGTGAATAGGTGAATAGGGTAAACAAACCAATGGATGGATGGTTGAGGGAAAGTTGAGGTTCGTTGAAGGATTTAACATCGATAAAGTACCTGAATTGACTAAAAATGAGTTTTANGAATTGTGTGAATAGGTGAATAGGGTAAACAAACCAATGGATGGATGGTTGAGGGAAAGTTGAGGTTCGTTGAAGGATTTAACATCGATAAAGTACCTGAATTAACTAAAAATGAGTTTTATACCTGAAAGAATGTATAAATTAGGGAGAAACAATAATTTGAAGTGAAAATGATTGAGTGAAGAATAATTAAATGACGGAAAAGTGGGATGTAGCCCAAACTCCCAACAACTGGACGCATGATTATACATAATTGTCGTTATTGAAAGTTAAACGCATGATTAAACATAAGGGATATCATTGAAAATTAGAAGACTCAGTCCAGTTTTCATTCTATTGTTTATATAATGTTCAATAAATGGTGACATCGTCCAGGTAATGGCCCCCGTCTGGCTATTGGCCTGTTAGCCCTAATATGTTAATGTGCTGAGTTGATTTACTTCACTGCTTCAAAGGATTAATTACCGAGGAAGCCATCGCAACGTGGAACAGAGAGGCATTGTGGAATACGAGTCCAAAAACCTTTCTCGAATTTATGAGGTGTTTTGCCCACGTATTTCATTTCGCCTGATTTGCTCCTATAGAGTTTGCTGACAATAGTGAAGGTTTGAATGCTTTTGGATTAGAAGGGGTCTATGTATTACTCTTCGCCCATTCCTTCCCAAGACGACGCTAACAGAACTACAGTGAAAACATCTGGAATACGAAGTGGGCAATCATTGTACCAATAGGGCATTCTGAAACATTTTCCATGAACCTGCTCAACAGGGATTATACGAATTTCATCGAGAAGTACTGAACACCTGAAGACTCCGACCGATGATGATGAACCAACAAAATTCGAGAATTCATCAACCCTTAGGAAAGTTTTTACAGCGAAGGAATACTCGTCATCAACCGAAATAATGTTTTGAATTATACATACTGAAGAATCCTGTAACATCACTGTGTCATCCCGACCATTCGGACACATGAACAATGATTTGTATCTAATTCGTTCATACTGCACACAATTGAATGGGAGAGGAGGGCGACAAGGAGAACGCGAAATCCTGCCTGGGACCACAGTTGAGATTGGAACGTGAGGATCATTCTCACTATTTTCGAACGCTTTGGCTCTTTCGACATGTCGCTTAGCAATCTGTTGCAGTTGCTGATTCGGCTTCGCACATGCCTCTCTGAAAAACGACATACTGTTCTCATAGGGGAACGCTGNGGAATACTCGTCATCAACCGAAATAATGTTTTGAATTATACATACTGAAGAATCCTGTAACATCACTGTGTCATCCCGACCATTCGGACACATGAACAATGATTTGTATCTAATTCGTTCATACTGCACACAATTGAATGGGAGAGGAGGGCGACAAGGAGAACGCGAAATCCTGCCTGGGACCACAGTTGAGATTGGAACGTGAGGATCATTCTCACTATTTTCGAACGCTTTGGCTCTTTCGACATGTCGCTTAGCAATCTGTTGCAGTTGCTGATTCGGCTTCGCACATGTCTCTCTGAAAAACGACATACTGTTCTCACAGGGGAACGCTAAATGTGAGTCTAGTGGGCCCAAGCGCAAAACGTCTTCGAGAAGATGGAGGAGAGCATGGATATTGTAAGTGTAAAACTCAACGCCATAAATGTCTTCTGCCCTTTCAACGAAAATTTTTATCAAACCTGTGACAAATGCTCTATCCCGGGGCGTTAGAACACACGGACGAACTAATACTCGCATTGCGGTATGTAAAATGAGAAAATGTAAATAAACTGAAGTATCCACAATTCCGTTTAGCAATGCGGAGCCTGTATAAAGAAGAATTTGACGCAATTCCGTCGCTTTAAATGAAGAAAAGTTCTCAATTTCTACCGGTTTACGCGCAAACTCTCTCGGGCAGTGAGCTTTGATCTCACAAAGACGAGCATTGAGTGCCAAAATAGACGCGGGACTGAGTTTAAGATCATTCATATACTTTCCAGTGACAATTACAGAGAGAATTTTCTTCATCACACCCAAGCAAACGCTGTGTATATATTCGAAAGGCACTTGAGTAACAAGATCCATTGGAAGCCGAAGAAGGGGGCTGTCAGCATTAGTATGATGCTCACCATCAATACCATTGGCGTACTCCGCCCCTGTTCGAGCTCTATGTTCTACACCTCGAAAAGACATTACCCCGCGGCGTATCCATTCCCCTCTTACCCAACATTTGGAACATGGACAGTAAGATTGGTGAACAGCATGGCATAAAATTAACGCGCGAGCTGGCGCATCAGCAATGAAGCAACGAATTTCAATGGTATACAAAGTGCCATTGTGAATTACGCCTNAACATTTGGAACATGGACAGTAAGACTGGTGAACAGCATGGCATAAAATTAACGTACGAGCTGGCGCATCAGCAATGAAGCAACGAATTTCAATGATATACAAAGTGCCATTGTGAATTACGCCCCCCTCATTCATTAATTCTAAATAATCATCAACGAAAGGATTGAAGAATTCATTGGCATTTGTCGGTTTTGAGTTGCTGCGCCAAATACCCACAAGTTCTGGTTTACAATGCGGAATGTTCGCAATTCTAATTTGAATGGGCCATATTTGATGGGCTTGCAATGTAGCTCCATCAGTACTAAAATCGATAAGTAATGTCTCAGGAATCAGATGAACTGGAGTTNATGAAAATATTTACCACCAGCTAAATTCCTAATTTCTGCAGAGTGTCGAGGAGTTCCCATCAAACCACGACAATCATGTGGTAATGTTGAATGGCTTGGATGAGTTCGGAGAGTGATTAAGAGGGCATTCATCTGTTTGTGACGCAACTTGATATTCACAAAGGTAGTGCCCAGGCGGCGAGCAAACGCGGCCTCATCGTGTTGGTTCAACGCATTCGGCGCATTGAGAACATGCAAAATATTGGGCGCATCGGGGGGATCGTTCGAGGCGTTGAGAACATTCAAAACATTCGGCGCGTCTGGAGGATCGTTCGGCGCATCCGGCGCGTTCGGGAAATTCAAATCGTTCAAGGGATTTGGCGCGTGTTCGGCGTTCAAATTTTCTGGCGGGTTTTGTGCGCGTGGATGAATATGCGGTTCATNGAATATGCAGTTCATTCACTGCGTTTTCATCCATGTCGACATCTTGATGCGACGAGTTAGCTATAGAAGCTGTGAAAGTATATGGATCCCGAGCTATTGAATTAGAAACGGTTAAATATCCATGTACACGAGAAAGTTCACGTTTACGACGCGCTGCTTCTTCTAATTTGTACAGCCGACGACGGTGTTCACGACTGAGCTTATGTTCAGGCTTCCGAGTACGCTTAACACTGAGTCGATACATTACGACCTGGATAAGAAGCAGTGAAAAAAAGAATAGATTCCGTCAGAAGTACAGGGAAAAGATAGAAAAGAGAATATGTCTGATTATAAATCTAAGCTCGTGATTTTTTATTGACAACGAAAATAAAGGTAATAGTATGATCTTTGACCTTGGATGAAGTCTCTGAAGTCTCCTTCCGATATTTCGTCCCTCGTCAGCAGTCCAAAATCTGTGGGAAAAGAGAGTTGTATTAAGAGAGTGCGACCATTTACACCGGGACTTAAAGTCCGGCTTAGTTCAAGTCTAGTGCTGCGTAAGTTCAGATCATTTTCACGTATTCACCAAGACTTCGACGAAAGTGTACAAACTTAGCCTCACTTGAAGTCGATGTTTGGGTGAACTCCTGTTCATCATGTCATGATTATTGCAGATTCATACTGTCTGGCCCATGCGATTTAAAACATTTCGTCGCTTCTAGTGAATTTTTTCGAAATACTCCGAGATCAAAGGGAGATAGCAGAATTTTTGTAAAGACATTTCTCATAGTATTCATTTTGCTCTACAAAAAAGGTCTTTACAATATTTTCCCTATAGCCCCTAAATTTGATGATATTTATCAAAAATCCACCCGGAAGTGAACTGATCCTTTTCTCCCTAGCCCGTAGTGAATTTTGCAATCCGAAAAATCTCTCCATCGAAACGTCTAATTGACCATTCAATTTGTGAATGCAATGCCCGCACAAATCGACTACAATAATTACTCTACTCATTTTTATTTTACCCCTAGTTCGCACGTATGAAAAAAATTGTATGAGAAAAATCATATGAATCATAAATTCAATGGAAAGCCTAGCGAATTCGATAGAGAATTCTATTGGAATCCCATAGGAATTCTAGGGGGTTTCTATAGGATCTCTATTATAATTCTATTGGAACATTCTATTCGTTTTTAGCGCTGATTCTATTGCATATTTGCTAGAAAAGACTCAATAGATTTCGAATTCCTGTTTGAATTTTTCTCTGGAGATTTTTTCATTAAAATTATTGGGCATGAATTTTCTATGCTTTTCCCACTCGGATTCTGTAATCCAAAAC